ATCTGTGCCCTTCCCTACTTCTTCTTTCTCCCTCCCCTTGTCCAGTCATGTTGTTTCAGAGCAACTTATCTGAAAACCAAGCAAACAATTATCAAAAAACCCCAAAACAACCCCTTTTTGTCTCTGTTTTTCTCCCAGGCTGCCTCAGTTTTGCAGGGAGATGGCTCAGCACCAAGGAAATATCAACAGCATCGTCGCCGCTTTCTACGTGTGCACCAGAAACGATGGTGACTGCAGCCCCCTGAGCAAGGAGGAGCTGAGGCAGCTCATTGAGCTGGAGTTTGGGGATGTGATGGAGGTGAGGATCAGGCCCCACATCTTGAGTGGGGAAGCTGGAGCTCATTGAGCAGGAGTTTGGGGATGTGATGGAGGTGAGGAGCAGGTCCTACAGCTTGTTGGGGAAGCTGGAGCTCATTGAGCAGGAGTTTGGGGATGTGATGGAGGTGAGGAGCAGGTCCTACAGCTTGTTGGGGAAGCTGGAGCTCATTGAGCAGGAGTTTGGGGATGTGATGGAGGTGAGGAGCAGGTCCTACAGCTGGCACCTGCCATGGGTGTTCCTCCTGGCTGTAGGGCTGGGATCAGGAGTGTGAAGGGTGGGTAGATCCATCTGCTCCCGTGTAGGTGTGCAGGACATCTGGCTCCCTGGGAAAGGCACAGATGCCTTCAAAGCCCAGGTTCTACAGGGAAGAGGAGAGGTTGCTCATTCTCCCAATGCCAAGACCATTTGTCTCTTTACAGAACCCCCAAGACCCCAGCACTGTCAAGAAGGTGCTGTGCTTTCTGGATGATGACAGCAGCTGCAGGGTGGACTTCAGTGAGTTGATCAGCCTGGTTTTCCACATGGCCAAGGCTTGTTACAAGCCACTCCAGCACCACCAGGCACTGCAAGATGGTCAAGAGCCAACAGGGCAAGAGAAGGCAGGTGGGGAGCTGTCACCGGGACCAGGCACAGCAGGGAGGGTCTCCTACAACCAACAGGTCCATGAGCAGGGTGTGAACAATCAGGTCGAGGACACTGAGACACAGGACCCAGACAAATATCAAAGCCAGGAGGGTGAGACACAAGAGCAGGACAGGGACACCCATCAAACCCAGGAAGGTGAGATAGAGGAGCAGGACCAGGACGACCATCAAACCCAAGAGGGTGAGACATCAAAGGAGGACCGGGACACCCATCAAACCCAGGAGGGTGAGATACCAAAGCAGGACCAGGATTACCATCAAACCCAAGAGGGTGAGACATCAAAGCAGGATGGGGACACCCATCAAACCCAGAAGCATGAGACATCAAAGCAGGATGGGGACACCCATCAAACCCAAGAGGGTGAGACTTCAAAGCAGAATTGGGACACCCATAAAACCCAGGAGGGTGAGACAAGGGAGCAGGATCAGGACAATCATCAAACCCAGGACAGTGAGACACCAGAGCAGGACCAGGACACCCAACAGGATGATGGGACTGAAGCATCAGAAGGGGACCCAGAGAGAGGTGAGATCCTGGACAATGCAACCCCAGAGCAGGACAGAAATACCTATAGGGCTGAAGAAACTGAGACACCAAAACAGGATCCAAAAATCCACCAGGCTAAAGAAACTGAGGCACCAGGACAGGGTTCAAACCATCATCAGAGTCCAGAGATGGAGTCAGAAGAGCAGGACCTGACTTGTCCCTCTGAGACACGAGGGAGAGACCCAGACAACAAGACCCAAGTCTGTGAGGCCCCTTGGCAGGACCCCAATCCTGGCAAGACCCAGAAGCTGCTGCCCCCACAACAGGATGCAAGCCCCCGTCGGGATCCCAAGCCCTGGGGAACACATCATGAACCAGCTTTCCATCCATTCCCTGAATCCAAGGTGCTGGAGAAGGAGCACAGTGGGGCAGAAGCTCCATCTTGTCCAGCACAACAGCAACAAGATATTCATCAGCAAAGACAACCTGTTCTGGAGCAACAGCTCCTCCGCTCTCTGTATGAGTGGCCAATAGAGCAGTAAAGGTTGAAACAAGCCCCTGTCCAAGCAAGGCCATTCCACCCTGTGAGGAGGTAGATTTTGTCCCAGTTCCACTCTGGTTTTTGCATTTCTATTTGTCACATCTTGTCCAATTCTTTATGACCCTTGAGCTTTGTTCCCCTGGTTTGTGTAGAGCTACACATGACTCGAGACCTTCCCTCTTGCTCCACGTTGGGCTGCCTCAATAAAACTCAAAGCAAAAGAGCACAGTGTCCTGGTGTCTTGCTATAAATATACCCTTGGCCCAGCTCTGAGCAAACAGTTGGGGTGACATGATGACACGATGGATGTTCCTTGCATGATACATGTCCAGGTTGCTCCAGGGTGTAGATGGAGGGATGGCTGCAGAAAGGAACGTGTATCTTGGGGGTGGATAACACAAAGGAGCTGCTGCTCTGCTGCTTTTGCAATTTAGCCGTGGTGAATCGATTGTTCCCCACGGGCAAGGGTGTGACATCCCTGCGAGAGATGTCTTCAGAGTGAGTAGAAGTCTGGATTAATGCAGCAGCATGGCCAACTTGAAGAGATTCCTCACATCTGTCTGCTCCGGGCGTTTTTCCTCTGTGCTGTGAAAAGAATAAACAGTGAATGGGAGGGATGTCACAGAATCCCAGAATGGCCTGGGTTGGAAAAGCCCTTTAAGATGATTGACTCCAATCATCAACCCAACACTGACAAGTCCCCTATGACTAACCCATGTCCCTCAGCACTATGTCTACACAACTCTTCAATCCCTCCAGGGATGGGGACTCCACCACTGCCCTGGGCAACCCCTGCCAATGCCTCAGAACCCTTTCAGCAAAGAAATTCTTCCTCACATCCCATCTCAACTGCCCTGGCCACAACTGGAGCCCATTTCCTCTTGTCCTGTCCCTTGTTCCTTGGTTGAACAGACCCACCCCCACCTCTCTCCACCCTCCTTTCAGGGAGTTGTACAGAGCCAGAAGGTCTCCCCTCAGCCTCCTTTTCTCCAGGCTCAACAACTCCAGTTCCATCAGCTGCTCCTATTTGTCCTATTTAACCTCATTTCTTAACAATCTCAGAAGCAAGGGCAATGAAGATCAAATGATCTTCAAGCAAGTATGCTATGAAGATCAAAAGTCTTTCTAAGCTATGGAAGCCTCCAAAGGAAGGAGTGGAGATGTATTAAACACAGGAAAAATGATTGGTTGGGTACATCCAGTCCCAACAACAACTGGGAGGCCAGAGATAAAAAGCTGACGTAGAAACCATGCACAGAGCCAATTCCAAACTCAAAATCAGTTTGGGGTACCAGGTTCTCCAGGTACTTATCCAGAGCATCACATAAGAATGTGGGTAACTCTGAGGACACGAGCAGTCTGGTGAAATCAGTGGGGTTTATTAGGGGGTTCAGACGTGCTGGACCACCAGGCAGCCCCAGGAGTCAGCATCCCGTAGGGGAGGGTGATGCTCAGCTTGTTTTTCACCCACGTTATCTTTCACTTGTGACCTATCACCAAAATCAGCTCCATGCTAAATGCACCCGCACCTCCTGCTTTGTGGCCAGTGACAAGCAACACGCAGAGACCTCACTGGAAAAGACAACGTCATTCCTCTGGGAAACCCCAGAATTTCACAATTTGCTTCAGGCTGAATCAGAAAAAAAACAGCGTTTCCAAACGATCTCCAGAATGTTCATCACAAAAATGATTGGGTTTCAAAATGCTAATATCAAAATGAAATGTATTGGACACCAAACACCAGGCTGCTCTACTAACGAGAAAACATTTTAGTGAAAATAAGTTCTGACCTACCTTGTGACAGCTGTGGACATGAAATGGCAGAGTCAAGACTTAAATTTCATCATCTCTCTTTCAAAAACCCATTCCATCCAAGATGTTCCTCAAAACATTTTGTTTTCCAGAGAACTCCAATTTTCTTGTAAAGTAGGACTCAGTTAGAGCTTTGTCCAATAGCTCTTTGCTTCTTATTAACTCTGGTTTAGGGTCTAAAATCACCAGACCCAACCATCTCCTCCTAGTCTGTCTGTCCATCAGCTGACATCTTCTACAGCATCAATAAAAAAATGACCTCCCAGTTCAGGCAGGCAACAAGCCACATTAGGGATGTGTTAATTACATGCTCTACTCTGAATAACACTACTTTGGCCAGCAGAAGTGTCATATTTGAAGTTAAGAAGGTTTTTTGGTTCATTTTCAGGAGAACATTAAAATTATCCCACTGACACAATAACTGTCTGAGAGTCCTGCAAGCCTGGGAGATATCAGAAGAGAAAAGGTCTTTATACACCACACGAGGAGCCCAGTCCCTCTAAGATTAAATTCAATAGAAGTTGGGTTACCCTATATAAATGGTGATGGGGATGGACACAGAATTGGGTAAGAAGCAAGAGGATGGAGCCCATCCTCTTGGGTAACAGCTTTTAAAAATCACAGACTGGTTTAGGTTGGAATGGACCTTTAAAGGTCTTCTAGTCCAACCTCCCTGTAGTAAGCAGGGACATCTTCAACTAGATCAGGTTGCTCAGAGCCCCATCCGTGGGTTGAAAGGGACCTTTAAAGGTCTTCTAGTCCAACCTCCCTGTAGTAAGCAGGGACATCTTCAACTAGATCAGGTTGCTCAAAGCCCCATCCAACCTGACCTTGAATGTCTCCAGGGATGGGGCTTCTACCACCTCTCTGGGCAACCTGGGCCAGGGTCTCACCATCCTCAGCATCAAAAATTTCTTCCTTGGATCTGCCTAAATCTCCCCTCTTTTCACATCACAGAATCATTGACTGGTTTGGATTGGAAGAGACCTTAAAGCTCATCCAGTCCCAACCCCCCTGCCATCAGCAGGGACACCTTCCACTAGACCAGGTTGCTCAAAGCTTCATCCAACCTGGCCTTCAACACTTCCAGGGAGGAGCAGCCACAGCTTCTCTGGGTGACCTGAGCCAGCATCTCACCACCCTCCCAGCAAATAATTTCTTCCTAATATCTCATCTCGATCTCCTCTCTTTTGGATTAAAACCATCACCCCCTGTCCTATCACTACAGGCCCTACTAAAAAATTTGTCCCCAAAAAGAAGAATCTACCCAAATCCCATCACATCTTCAGGGAACACGAAGCTCTTGAAGAAAAGGGATCTTCAGCGTTGCCAAGAACGTGTTTTGAAACTCATTGCTTTGTCCTAGGACCAAAAAAAAACCAACCCAACCCAAGGGAATGCAGGCGAGCGTGCCGGCGTGCGCGCGGCCGAAACGTGACGTACCTTTTCCGACATCGATACTCCAACTCTACCCGCTGGCTCTGGTGGCATCTGACCACCCCTCACTACCCCAGCCCCGACGAAGGGGATTACAGACTGTTACAAGACACCAAACCGCCTCGTAATACTTTAATTTTAATAATAACTCCAATCTACCATAAAATTACAGTTTCCCAAGGGTATTATTATCCCACAGGTGGGGTATAATTTGCACAAGTATAATTTCATCTTGAAAAAAAAAAAAAAGCTCAAAAAATGAAGTATGGTTAGTAAGAATCTTTCGTAGGCACTTGTATGAGTATCCCCAAGGTGTTACCAGCACTAATTAATTAAGCTCCTACACCCAGTATGATCTTACCTTAAAGATGGGCCAAGATGAACCACTCACCCAAAGGCTGCGTGACAAGTTCATGCTCTGGAGGTTCTCTACAATGTCTCCGTCACTCTTGTCAAGGCAACATCCTACCTCCAAAACCAAAAGTAAAGGCCCAAGTGGCACAGTTGGTATCTTCTTTATTTGTTCTGAGTATTGGGAGAGTTCAAGGGTGAATAAAGGAATTGGTTGGTCTCTAATTAATTTACTGTTAAAAGATTTTAAAAAAAAAAAAAAAGAAAAAAGATTGTAGAGGTAATTAGAGCACAAAAGCTGCCTGAGGCAACCAGATGAAGATTCAACATGAATCGACCTCTTAGCAGAGAGTTTTCTGCTTTTATTTTTAATTAAAGAACAAGTAAAGTTGAAATGAAAGTCATTCATGGAAGATGAAAATATTTTGTTAATATGAATAAATGTTTTATCATTATTTTTCTCAATGAAAACTCAGTGCAAGTTCCAGAACAGGCATTTTCTTGTACCAAAATGCATTTTCCAAACTTTACCATTTCAAAACGTTCTGTTGGATGCTGGGTTGGTTCTTCCCCCCTCCAACAAAAACCTGGATAACATAACAAAAAGGTTCATTAATAAGAAATGACCACAAATAAACCACGTTTTGCAGACACCACACAAGCCAAGATCTGGTGGATTTGGAGATGTCATTGCTGTGCATCTGTATTTCACCATTTTTTATAGCTCTTCGGTCTTCTTCTGTCCATCTGTGAGCAAAAACCAGACCCAAACCCATTGACTTCACGCCCAAGGTGTTGAAGGAACTGCACAAAAACCAATAAATAAATAAATTTCTAGTATTGCAGTACCAAGCTCATGGGTCATATAGATCTCAACTGTCCCCAATTTGCTCACAGTGAGCTCTGGTCCCATCAGCACTTCTGTCCTCATCCTCAAAATTTCATTTTTGGTCCTTTTTTTATGTGTGCATGTGTAAATTCTACATATATAAATTCATATTTATGTAGATGTGTATTTATATAAAAATACACCCTCTCATTAAACCCATCTTTATGCTTTTATAGCTAAAATTTTTTTCAAATCTGAAATATAATCAGCTTGTAAAATAACTTTACGGTTTGGATTAGGTGGAACCAGCCGGTGCCTGAATTGCCACGTGGTAACTGCTATTTCTGGGTTAAAATGATAGGTAAGGGGATGATAAGTTAAATAACCCGTTTGAGAACGTGAAGGTGTAGCTGGGCTTGGTCAACGATGAATCAGGACAATGTCCACAAAGGGTGTCTCCTTTCTGGAGTTCCTTCAAGGACCCTATAAAAGCACCCGGGTTCTCCGATCACTCCGCACGGCTTCACAGGAATCCCACTTGGTGGAATCCCGTTGGTGATTTGGGTAAGTCA